CATTCCAAGTTGGGATCTTAGCATGGGAATCAGTTGCCTAAATAGCCTGGGACAATTCAAAATACTGCAGGTATCTAAGACACCCATAAGAGGAAGCAAGTTAAAATGGTAAAAATCACATGCAAAACAAGAAAGAAACAAAAGCCTCCTTTTCTTGGCAGGAAATAGTTATCAATATCGGCAGGGGGAGCCACAGAATTAATTAATAGAAGTTACAAGTAGCATTACTGTATCCACTGAAAAAAATATAAAATCCACCTTGAAAAGCAGCACCCATTAAAAAGCACCAATATTATAATCTAAAAGTATACTTAGATCCTTGCATCTTATAAATGTGGAAGTCCTAGGAAGGAACTAGGTATTCTACTGGCTTATGGCCAGCAAACCATACTGTTTATGTCACCATAATCTAATAATACCTCTGAATTATGGCTTTATCCACGGAAATCATTAATGTTTGAAGATAAGATCCCAAAGAAATAACTCTTTTTTTTCAGATACCATCTGCCCTAATGATAATGATACTCCACAGATTTTTGAAAGCCTACAAGTAAATAAATTGGCCTAGTACACAGTGTAGTTACCCATATTACAGCAATAATGTGACACATCAAGATGGTTAACAAAAAAAAAAAAGTTCTTCAAATCATAGTGATGTTGGCTAGGATTGTAGAATAGCATTTATATATATATATATATATATATGTCTTATCATATATATATATATATATATAATTTCATCAATTATAGCTCATGCTGAGGCGCCGAGGACTCATTCCTCAGCCTGCTGATAAGACACTCCACTTAGTATTTTCATTTCAGCCCTCCTAGAGTGGGTTATTTGTATCACAGAACAAACAGAAGATACATGAATTACAGTATCTTTGTATCAAAAGGCAAATTACACTAAGATGTTACAGCTAACAATACCATCATAGTAAGGTTATGTTTATTTCTCTGATCTTTCAGGAGCTTTTCCTGAAAGCGAGTGCAAAAATACACCTGTGTTTTCAACAGAAAGGCTTCGAAGTGAATCACTTAAGTCTGTTGTGTTTATAACACTCTTGTAAACAAATGATTAATAACTGATACAGCCAAACAACTGCATTTGCTGTAAAGCAAAACAACTACACGCACCAGGCCATTCAAGATGCATTTGTCTGCATATACAGAACAACTTTGGATTTTAAAATGTTACCTTTTTGCCTTTTTAAATCTTTTTTTCAGGAGATAGAGAAAGGTTCTGCAAGATACTCTATTTCTATGCCTTGGGACTAATCTGACTCCTCAGTAGACTGTAAAACAGGAAAACGCTCAATTCATACAATAACTTTTGCAACCCTTTTGTGTTCAAAGCAAAATGCAGTTTGTCTGGCTGAAAAGGAAACAAAAAACTGGAACAACACTGACTTCTTACAAGAGAGCGTGGCATCACACCTACCAGCAACATACAACTATGTTTTAACAAACAGAGGAACAATGTTCCTGTTCAGACAGAACAAAGGGAATATACCCTTATAGGATACCGAGATTAAGGCAGTATATACACCAGCATAGAAAAGGCATGAACGTTAACGCTTTCAAAAGCAGCATCCACAGTACATCTTGTTAAACTTTACAATGATTCCAAAGATAGAAAATAACACTAATTTTACAGCCTGAAAAACTGAAATGAAGCTCAAAGATCAACAGACAGTAGTCAGAGAGCAGCAGGAACACAGGTTAGAATTACTGTTGGTGTATATATGCCCAGTAAAATACTAAGAGAAAACACCTGCTAGAGGTTTTACATCATGGTGGTAGCTGTTACCAAAAAAATCAGTAAATTTACTGAATAAGATCACATACATTTAACCACAATAAAAGTATTTTTTTTCAAAAAAAATCATGTTTTGCTGCCTATTGCTTTAAATAGCTCTCCAAAACGTTTAGAAGCACGTGATGGCCTCTTCCCACCACTGAGGGAGCTCCGTTTGGTCCAGGATCTGAAGAATAGACCTGTAATGTGGCACTGCTACTACCATGTTAACAATCTTTGATGTCTACAGTTGTGTATTTTATCGAGGAAACTGAAAGACCACACACACACACCCTAAAGGATTTTAAAATTACAAAAATTAAGCAGTGTATGAGCTACAAGTTAATATATTTTGAATTGATACTCTAAACTAAACAGATTGGAAATTGATACCATGTAACATTCTATTCTTGGATTTACTAACCAGCTTTGAACCTCTGTTGTGTTTTCAGAGCGTATCGGTCACAGTCCTCCCGTGTGATGTTGTATTTTACTGCCAGATTTTCAGCTGTAACTCCCATAGGTGTATTAATGTGCGTGTCATTCACAGCTGACCACAGTGTGTCTTCCATCTGCATTGGACATAATTAAAATTATTATGCAGTGCAGTTTTAACATTTTAATTACTCACTAGCCTCTCGGAAGCCAATGTCTCTTTGCAAAATTAAGTCGGGTTACCTACAGATACTTTAATTAGAACAAATAAAAGCAAAGGTGCATGCAAGACCTTGTGTATTATTTTAATTACTCTATGTTTTGTCCTAGTGCAGCTCCTTTCATTTATATTATCACCCTAAGAGGTTTTGGAAAAGCCTGGGATTTTTAGTTTTTCAGTGTATTTTATTGCTATATGAATTATTTACTAATGAGCTATGAGAAAACGTATCTCATAGCAAGAATGAACAGTGAGGAAGTGTGAAAAACAACAGCAAATTACTGACTCTGGCTCTTCCTCTAATGCCAGTTAAAATCTCTACCACACTTGAGTTAAGATTTTCTGTGGGTAAAAGATCTCAGATGAGAAAATACCTAAGCTGAAATTTAATTCATCTAATAAAGACAAGCCCAAGCAGTCCAGCTAGCTGGTCCTCACTTGTCTTTGACAAGTAGATTCTGCAAGACTCTTACACTTGTAATTGTGTAATTCAGTTATCTTCACAATAAGGATCTTATGACACTTATGGAAACTGAGTGCAACCAACAACTTTCCAGTGGGCTTTCTGCAAAGACTGAGGCTGTCACAGTGCCACAGAGGCTCACAGGAAGGGCAGTCTAACGTATTTCATAGTGTAAAAACACTGCAGAGGAGAGAAAATAAAAAGCTGAAATATTTAAAGAACCTAATTTAAGAATTTGATTTGGTTAAGGCCTGCTGAGTAAACAGTAATTATCACAGCAGAAGTGCTCCCTTCTGCAAATTTCCCACTGTATTCACTAAGAATTCTTCTTCAGAAGAAACTGTTAGAAAAAAATCTCTGTCACTAGATTTAACTTCAATTTCTCAGGTTTAAATTGAAAGATGCTTACAACTGGGAGGCTTATGTGTTCTCTACCAGTCTAATGCCTCACTGCTAGCTGTACTAGCTTTACCTAAACTCTTTATGTGTTTCTCTCACCCTCTGACAACAGAGAAGTTTTTGTCTTACACTTATATACACTATTTGATGGAATATACCAAGTGAACTAGGTTTTGTACGCAGGAGTTTAATGACACATTTCACATGGACAGGAATTCATATACAGTTTTCACAAAATCATATATATTTTTGAAAATGCTAGAAAACTGGTATACTTAGGAAAAATTACTGTAACTGCTTTTTTAATGTTTGAATACTTGATAAATGCTTTGAACAACTGAATTTGGATCTATCTCCAATGATTTCATCTGAAAGACTATAGCACCTATGTGTCCAATACTTCTGTTGCTCTGTAAACCTGACTTTATTCATAGGAAAAAGAGAACAGTATTAAACCTTCATATCTACTCCTAATTTGGTTCCAAAGCGAACATTTCGAACAGCGTAAGGAGACTGGCTCATATTTTCAGCTCCACCACACAGAACCACCTCTGAGTCATTAAGACAGACTTCCTGTTAACACAAAAACAAAACAGATCCAGCAGTTAGTTTGCAGTTATCATAAGACAGTAACAACTGCTTTAGAAAAGTACTTTGTCACCTGGAAAGACACACACAGAATGAATTCATGCTCATTTATGCATATATTTATGCAGGGTCTAACTTTCTATTAAGAGGAGGTTCTACCACTTTTAATATGTGCTCATTCACCCAGCTGTCAATGCAGTAGGATTATACCCATGAGGGCAGCAAGAGAACAAGGGTACCTGCTTATGACAAGACTAAGGAAGAAAGCCAGTACAAGTATTGTCATGCTTGTATGGTTGGGTTAAAAGACATTTGGCCTCATTTTCTTTTTAATATTAGTACAACAAAACCAAATATTAGGGTTTTTTTGTGTTTTTGTTTGGGTCGGGAGGGTGGGATAATCTGTTTCCTCTCTACCTGCAACCCTCTCAGCAGGACTAGAAATCAAACCTCAAAACCTGAAACTGGGCCATACGATTCTCAAAAATAAAACATTGTTTTAGAAAACATTAGTCATGTAAATTGTCAGAAAAAAAATAATAATACAAAATTTACACACTAATTCATCACTGCCATATCACTGTCCCCTAAACGCATGTCCTGGCAGTTCAAAATACTCCTTCCTTAAAATGATCCACTTAACCAGAATATTTCTGTAGTGGAATGGAAGCAGATAAAATTACCTTGACACATTTGAGATGACTAGTTAATATTTACTAAACAGTAAATATTAGTTAATATTAAAAAAAAGTTAATATTTACTATTCTTTAATAATATCTATAGTTAACATTAGATATACTGAGGAAATATATTTGGAAAAGACCTTTTGACTACTCTTTCAATATAGGTGATCAAAAGTCTCCAAATGATTTTTTTTTAAGCAGAAATTAATTCTTCTTGTATGTGTACACTTTTCTAGATCATTGCAGGAATATTATTGTAAACTTTTAACCTTAACTCTGCATTGTCTTTCACACTATTCCTTCTAGAGGATTACATCTGAAATAGTTCCCCAGCTAACAGGATTTTTTATTAACTATATGGCTGTTCAAGCATTTACAAAAAAACACTCCAGTTTGCACAGTCTCTTTCCTCCTTGACCAACCAATCAAAAAAAAAACAAAAAAATCACCATAATGACTAATTGCTACTTGGGTAAAAAGTATGTGCTGTTTCTTTTCTAAAAGATAGAGTAAAAGCTATTTTTTATTTGGCAGAGAGTAAACACTGTGTTAAAAATAGAAAACAAGAGCAACACTTCTCTGGGATCAGCAGAGACAGTTCACATCAGCATTTTTACTTAAAAAAAGCATTAGTGACAAAATGAACAATAAGATTTGATTGCAAGTATACTTAACAACAAATCAACTGCGCTTGGAGAGTGCAACTGCTGCATGACTGAGTTAGCACTTATTGCACTCCTTCCATTAAACTCAAAATAACTCCAATGATGATTTTCTAAAACTATCCACAAAACCAGTGCTGTACTAGCTGGACTACTGAACACAACCATGCAGGACAACAGGAATTCTTGACCAGTGGTAACTAAAAATCCATGATAATACTCATCCAAACACACACCACATGTTTCCAAACAAGTCTCTCCTCTCAAGTTAACAATCTGACGAAGATTAAAGCTAATGCAGAAATACAGAGAGAAAGGGCTTTCTACCTGACATCCATTGGCAATGGACTGGAAACCAGAGCCACAGAGTCTGTTGACAGTGAGAGCTGGAACCGGGACAGGAATTCCCACACGTAAACCCACATGTCTTGCAATATAAGCAGCATCTGAGGAGGTCTGCAGACACAACAAACAGGAGGTTTTATGTTCTTATCCTTTTGGAAAGTAAAAGCCTTGTGCGAAAGTCTGAATGTTGTGATTGAATTACTGACAAAAGATAGCTCTATGCTTAATAACAATTCTACTACTTGTAAGAAGCACTCTGACTCATTTCAGAAAACACCTCCCCTTAGGATCAAAGGCCAATGTCTAAACACACATTTGAAAGAAACTCTATCCTAAGAGACAGATATCATGCTGAAAAATGTATTGCAGCTGGAAAGATTCTGAAGTCAGTCATTTAACAATATCTTATGTTTTCTTTATCCCTTAATTTCAGATCAGTTCAGACACAGTGTGATAACAGAAGACTAGATACGGACTAATAAGCAATGATTATATCAAGGTAAACTAAACCTGCTCAGATTAACAGGGATAGGCCCTCCAAGAAAACAGGCAATGAGGAAAGACACCACTGTTGCTTCATCTCCACTTTGTGAAATTTTATACATATGATTTTTTAATATACGTTGCTCTGTTCTAATAACAAAATCTAATTCATCCAGAACTTTTCAAAGATGGTTATATCATCTTTCTATTTGTACCATACACAGATGAGTCTGTGTTAGATCCATTCCTTTTTGCCACAATAAGCCACAATTCATCATGGGATAAAACAAAATGTGATTTGGCAGCGGCATTCTGACTGCTGAGTCAGCACATGACTGACTAGAGCACAGGAACAGCTCAAAAGGCTGAATTACAACAACCCTGCTAAAGACTTGTTATGGATCTTTCCAAACAGAAAATTGTTCCACAAGATCATGGCCTAAGCTAACATATATTACTAAGACATAGTTCTGCGCACAAAGCTACCTGAAATGCAAGTTCAGGTGAAAAGTGTAACCCAAGACCGTTCTGCTGAAGAAGGAGGATTTAAAATGGTCATAGTTATTTATCCTTAATCAAATAATACTTAAAAGCAAAACAAGACTAAGAAAAGAAAATCTATTGTGGTGGGGGAGGTAGGTATGAAGCAAGGGAAAGGAAATTTTATTTCAATGTGAAAAGATTCTTTTTGTAAGATTTTGTAAGAAAAGATTTCTTACCAAAAAAAAAAGTTGAATAAAAGAAGCTCAGCTGGTAGCTGTAAGAAGAAAACAAAAGCTACCTTTCTGGTTGAAAGTTCTTGAGAAGGAACAGAACATGTCTGTTCATTTATTGTGAAATTTCTTGGGTATTTGTTTCTTCTGCACCTTTAACAGAGTAAACACTGCAAGCAGTATATCAGTACCTAATATGGTGAAGTCAAAAAACAAAACAAAACAGAAAAACACTCTTGGCTTTCTTGTCTAAAACAAAGCCTCTGATCAAGATACATGGATAATTGCAGTTTTGCAATGCTAGTGCAATGCATTCAGTTGCATCTACATCACAAGCCCGCTGGGAAAGACACGATTCCCCAAATGCTTCTGCCAGTCAAGACATGTATTCTTCAAGATCAAAGTACAATTATACTCACTTTAAAAAAAAAAACTATAGAGAAAACTCAATGGGAATGGGCTCAAACCAGTTAAGTCTCCAGAAAGAAGAGGATTTATACAACCCAGTGACAACTCACTGTTCATTATGTTACACAGCTCAGGTTGTTAAAATAGGAAAAATGTACCACGGATTAGACACTCAAGGTTTACTAAATCCACATTTTAGAGAGGATCAGCTTGTCCTACTTTAAACTGACTCTGAGGAACTAAAAAAGGAAGATAAATCTTGCTCTAGTTGTGTCACAAATCAAGTCCTACAAATTTAAGTCCTTTAAATATGAACAGGAAACACCACACTATGAATGCTTATTCACTCCATTTTCATCCCTTTGATTATTCTTGGCTGCAAATCAGAAGCGATTATCTATAGAATCACACTGAAATAGCTGTCTGAATAATCAGTAACTAGTACATATTCCATGTCACCAACCTGCATGACATTGCCAACAACGACACTGTCAACGATCTCAGGAGACACCTTGCCAGCTGCCAGAGCTGCCCGGGCAGCGTGTTCTGCCAGGTCTATGGCTGTGAGGTCCTTCAGCAAACCTCCATAGGTGCCAAAGGGAGTTCGCTTCGCTGCAACAATGAACACACCTGCAACACAAGCAAGGATTATCCGTATGTGTGGAACGGAGGAGAGGAGAGTTAAGTTCCTTTATATGTATTTATGTTGGCTATCAGACAGATCTGTGGCAAAGAGAATGAATTTATCAAAAGGTTTGTACAGGTAAGCAGACCCAGCGGCTAAACCAAGCATAAAATCAGCAGGTTGTCCTGAAACAAATAATTCACTAGAGGCTTTGTAAATATAGACAACTTAAACACTACACAGTTCAAGATAAGACATGGGTTACAAGCAGCACTTTAGGCAGAGAAGGTACATGTAATCAGTGGGCAGAGGGAAAAGCTGAGAAGATGCTGGGAATAACTCTTTTCCAATAATAGGTTTGGAAAAAAAAAGAAAAAAAAAGGAAAAATAAGTAGTTTGAATATTCAGCAGACAAAGCAGGCTGCCATATCACACCAGACTTCAGTGTTACTGTACTAAAAACATCAGAGCGGGATTCACAAAATGTCATTATGGCCAACTGTGATATAATCTGTTAGTTAAGGAAGAAAATACAAAAGGTTTTTTAGAAAACACAAGTTCCCTCATCCTACAGAAAATCAGCAAATTGCTGGTTTATATTCTGAAATGTAAACACTGACATAGTTTTCACACAGAGTAAAATTTAAGATCCCTTTTAACCTTGATTCCTTTAATTTCGGAACAAAACCATTCTATAATCAAAAGCATAGTGATGCCTCCATATTGATATAGATCACCTACACTGTCTTAGCTGCCTTCCAGGTTCTGAGGAGAAAATGCAGCTTTCAGCAGAAAGGAAGAGCCTGTGTAAGGTGCATGTGCATAAATGATTTGGCCAGAAGAGACAGTAAGAATTTCAGTGTTGTCTTTAAATCAAACCAAAGATCTCCTGACTATCTGGCACAGCAGCTCCCTGACACGTGAGGCAGCCTGTGAACTTTTGCCCAGTTAAGCAGCAGAGCTCACCCGCCCCTTCTTCCCTGCTGCTGCCATGAGAACACTTACAATTATTTTAAGCAACACTATAGGGATACATAAGGATGTAAAAACGTAGCTAGAGGAAAACACCTGTTCCTTAAGCTAGATGTGAATGCTATAGGGTTGCTTTCAGGCTGTTTTCTGCAAGCTGTGCAATGCAAACTCTTCAGCCAGTTTGGCAGACAGGGGTGCTCCCCTCTGCTGCTCATCTGTTTGGAGCCCAGATTGCATGAGTTACAGAAGTGGTCTTTCTAAACGGGTGAAGGTCACACTTGCTCCACTGACAAGGACAGGAATACAGTGTTGGGATCTGGAACACAAAATGAAGGCACTCACAAAACCGTGCAGGCTGGAAACTACTAACAGACACAACCTGTGAACCTCCAAGGGTATTTTATTCATCTCAAGCTTACTTCTTAATTAAATATTATCAACACTTTTTTTTTTTTTAATATATATATCAACAGGTCAGGTCAGAATTTTTTAGCTCTTGTCCATTAGGCCTATAAGGGTTATCTCATGTTTCTAAGCGTACCTTTCCCGGGGCAAAACAGGCCTTAACACTCCCACCTCCTTTTCCCCACTCCTCCTTCCCACTGATTTCTCTCCCTCCATCTCCTGGTTGCAAGGCTTTGCTGTGGGCCAGCTCAAAGAACAGATCAAACTTTCTCCTCCCTTTTGGCTAGGTGGTTGGTTATCCACGTTATTTGCTGAATCAGCTACACAGTGTTGCTTTGTAATCAGTCTGGAGGTGGAATTTACTTTACACCTTTCTCTTACGCACACACATATCTCCCTTTCTTTCATCAGGCTGCTCACTGCAGCCCGCTTCTCTCCAACAGCACTGCAGGCCAAAAACTAATCCAGACCACTGAGACAGCTGAAAATTAATTCAGAACCAGGAGAAAAAGAGAGGTTAATTTTCATTTAGATCTGTTCCTGTGGTCAGATTTACTTTCTGGCGGATGAATAAAACAGCAATTTCAGACTAAAGGCTGAACTACCAGGGCAGAAGAACAAGCACAACCTCTTCTAGTGCTGAGTTGTGCTTGTGCTGAATTAAGTGATCACAAAGCTATTGCCCAAGGGGAATTACTCAAGAGCCTGTCTGAATTTGCATGATGGGAGAGAGATCTACAAACACCACTCCCTCCGTGGAATAGCAGAATATCAGGAGGGGCAAAGGGTAGCTCAAGTCCTGAGCAAGAAAGGGCAGCAAGAAAGCACAAAAGGAAGAGACTCCTACACATTTGTTACCACTGCAAGATTCCCAAGGTCATCACTAGTTTCCAAGCTGATACACACTAGCAGAGGGCAGACTGCTATGAAAAACATGCAGACCCGAGCTCCCAACTTTGGGGGCTGCAGAGAAAGGTCACCCTGAATCCTTGCCACACATTTGATTCAAGGCGTCTGTTAATCCAGGTTTGTTTGTTTGCAGCCATTACTTAGTTAATGTATTTACTCATGTGGCACTGAAATACTCCTTAACTCCTCAACACTTCACATGAAAATATTGATCAAATCTTATTTGAAACATCTAGAAAGCCAGCATTAACCTCAAAAAATTAAGCCACAAGAATAGTGCATGAAAAACACAGTGCCAAGATATGAGAAAAGATCCTGAATTAAGCACGAAAAACATCAAATAAGTAAATAGAGGCAAAGGTGCCCTCTCTACCATCCAGTCCTGCAGAGCAAAACAAAATTACATAGAAATTAACACAGAAAACTTAGGAACTGCGAGAAAGTACAAAAGACCTTTATCTTGCCACTATTCCTGCCAGCAGAGCCAACTTCAAAAAGGAACCTTTACACATAGAAATTTCTAGGTTTCTCCATGTAGACAGGTTTAATTAACAAACATAAACGCACATCCATGTTGTTAATCTAAATCGCCCGCCCCGGCGACCCCACGACGCCGACACCTCGCAGCAGCGCAGCCCCAACGCGACCTCCCCTAGCAGCCGGGACCCCTTTTTTTGCCCCTTTCCCTCCTCTTTCGACCCATTTCTCTCCTCTTTCTGCCGGGTCGCGCCTCACCCCTCAGGAGCGCCATGGCCGCGCCGCCTCAGCCACTGCGCCCACAGCC